CGGGTAATGAAACTCTAAGTCGTGACCAGCAGAAGAACGCTATGAGAACGCTGGTGTCTCAAAATCCACAGGTTTGATTCCCTTTGCCCTACCTTTCGAGTTGCCGTGAAAATATGGGTTTCAAGACGCACATCATTTTCAATTTAGGTCTACCACATCATAAAGCTCGCAACGGCACACCTCCATCCTAGAGAACTCGGTCTTCCACACGGTCCTCAAAATTTCGCAACAGCCGTCATGGATGCACCAGAAGAAGGAAATGATTTTGGTACGTTTTGGCAACGGTTATGCTGAATTTGGCGCACTCCGCTAATGCTCAATATATTTAGGCGCGGCAGTGATGGACCATGAAGATCCTGTTCAAGACGATAACTGACTGGAAGATTTTGTTGACCCGCCGCCGACATTTCATTCCACATGGTATCCTCCACAGTATTTGCGAAACAATTCATCATTTATTATGTGATTATTTCAGTGTTAGTCTAATAAATGGGATCTTTATATCCTGAGAAATTGTACACACGCTTTTCGCCTCTTCCATCCATTTTCCTGAGCCCTTTCCATATATTTTCTCGAAATAGGGGCGAAGAAATTCGCATCTTAACAGTTCCTATTTTTCCAATATTTCCAACGAATCGGTCTGCCCTAACTTTTTGATGCATATCGAAGTATGTTGTTTATTTCGTGAGACACCACTAAGAAAGGTAATGGAAAAGTGCCCTTCCTGATGCGCCATGCATCCGACGTTTTTTGATATCAGAAGACGCATTTGGTCCGTGTAAGGGCTGAGGGGGTTAGTTGATTTCTGCAACACAAACAAAGCTGCTTCCCTAACTCATACAAATGGCTAATAGAAAACTGCTGCCCATAATCGAGGTGACGACGGAAATGCTACCACAAGTTTGATGAGCGTTGAGCAAAATGAATCGCCCGTCAGAGTTTAAGCCTTGACCTATGCGTAAAAATGTATTCTGCTATTACCCCATTTCGAGACCTTTTTGCGTTTTCTTAGCCTCCAGTGTAAGTATAGGATGAAAAACATGGCCAACTCTGCTCAACCTTGTAAACGTTCTTACCTATGTACAAAATGCAATCCGTTGTTGCGAATACGAAAAGCTCCTCCAATGGTTGCCGGTAGGCCGTAATGTTCACCGTTGGGGTCTTTGAATTACAATCTATGCACCTAAGTGAAGAGAGATGTCACTGGAGAAATTTTAATCTGCAAATCCGTTCCCAGCACTTCATGTGAAGTTGTGCGACTTTTCAGGTCCAATTCTATCACATGTTTCACCCAATTCCTGTTTAGGAGCTTGGAAACCTACTTTTCCTTGATAGAAGGCTCACATTTATTTCTTCAATGGAAGGGTTACGGGTGAATTGAAGGAAGAACAAATGCTTAATGTTGTCGGTGTCGCGAAATCGAGAACGCCCTCCTCTTTCTTTTTCAGTCATATTATCACGTTCTTGTAAGTTCACAATTTAACGATGTATACTCGAGATCCGTAAGTTGGGGTAGGCGTGTCACCGGAAGTGACGTGTACTTGATAGAATCTATGTGGAAAGGGCTTCCAATATACATCGCGAGATATCAGCAAAGCATGCTGGCAACGACTTATCCTACGCAACTTCTATCAAGTCCACGTCACTTCCGGTGACACGCCTACCCCAACTTTCGGATCTCGACTGTAATGTATTGAGGTATTTCAAAACAAACGGCGTATAATGTATTGCGGCGGTTAACTCAGTATTCTATCTGCTTAGGTAAATATGTCAGACGATGTGGCCTACAGTTAATCGTTGAAATGTTTTGATACTTATGCGCAAATCCTCGTTAATCTGAGGATAACCGTGCGTGGAAAATAATTCCTCTAATGATGTCTATATGGTTTATTCTGATCCAGGCGGCATGATTTTTTTCAGGTGTTCACTAAAGGCTGTGCTTCAACATAAACAAAACAACAGACGGACAGCGATAGCCAAGAACTTTAGAAGACAGAGCGGAAAAGAGTGTCGTGTAGAAGAGGAAACTGGCATTAATGTCTCCTGTACTTGATATTCTTGGCTCCTACTCAGATTTGGGGACAAAACTGACCTGATATTAAAGCACTGGCCTGCACAGAGCAAAATGTGTTAATCGATGATCAACTTCATTTGTGAGGGCGAAACAATCACTAGCCGCAGTAGAGAGAAGCCCCTGTGTCTCATTTGAAATCAGTGTTTTTCTCCAGGAGTATGGTACTGAAACTTGTTGTGCGTAATCCCCTGAATAAAGCTTCTATTTCTGAATTTTTAGCTAAGAAATCAAGCCCAACCACCACACACTACATTTTCAGTATCGCTGCTCCTGAATAAGTCACGTCTGTTCAAACCGCTGCTACTACGGACTTACAATACGCTTTTTTTGAATGTTGCATGGGAACCAGGAGCAGCTGAAGCATTGAAAAGCACTGTCAGCAGCGTTGCTTAAACGCCGTCCACGGAAAAGCTACTCCTACCCATTTGCTGGACGCGCATGTGCCAGGGTGGGCGGAAGTGGTGTAGTGACAAGTGGCGCGCTCACCACGCGAGCGGTCCGGGATCAAATCCTGGGTCGTGAGTCGCCCGGGCCAACCAAGCCTTCCATCCCTCCGGGTCGGTTAATTGGTACCAGACTTGTCTGGGAGGATAAAAACACTGACTTGAACATCGGCTGGCCCCCGCAAGTCATTGTATAGGCCACATCGCATTCAAATGCCACTGCGAATGTACAAATGGAAGTAGAATGCGTGCCGCATCCCAAAAGGGATTGATCAACGGCAAATGCTTTATCCTTTTATCCTTTATTCCAAGGTGGAGGGACCCAGGAGTGCCTTAATCGCCATGCAGGACCGGTGTCAAATTTCTGGAGTTCTGACATGAAACTCTTTTGCAACGTGTTGGCTTCTCCAACGCCAACAGATGTGACAGTTTTATGGCGGGAATTCAAACTCTCTACAGCCTTCATGGTTTTGGGCTAATATCAAAACCAGCGGCTTCTTTATCTTTGCTATCCTCCAGTGACGGCAAGAGGGATGAGGTCCCAGTTTCATCATGCAATAGAGGCCGGGATTCTTCAGTGGAGCAATGTTTCCCTGAATAGATAATAATTATGAATAGATAGCTTTACTGCCGTGTGCACACTTTCGCAGTTCAACGTTTTCCAAGAGGACCGCACGCTTGACGACAGCTGAGATATTGAGCTGAGTGTATCCTTGGGCTCGGAGTCGTTTAGAAAAGAGCTGGTTCCATAGGATGAGTGAACAGCAAGCATCGTATAACAGAATAGTAACATGCATATGCAAAGCAGGACAGAAAATGGAGCACCTGTATCACCTGTATCACCTGTCGTCCCGTTGATCGTCGATTTGCTCGAGCGGGCGCCAGCAACGTCTCCATTCGTCCCTGTCGCGTGCTAGAGTGGTCCAGTGGATCCTCCTCGCTCGAGGGACACGAAGTCCTTCATTCCTTTCGTTCAGAGCTTTCGTGAAGAAGTCTGACCATCGGGCCGGCGGTCGTCCAGGTGTTCGTTTGACGTCCCGAGGGATCCAGTCGGTAACCGCTCTGGTCCAACGGTCATCGCAAAATCGCATGACGTGTCCGGCCCACCTTATCTTCGATTCCTTGGCGAAAGAAAGAAAAGAAAAAAGAGCAGGATAAAAGGTAGAAATGATGGAGAAGCGAAAGCTCTCGGCGCCGAGAAATCTTCCATTGGGATGCGCCACGTATTCTGCTTCCATTTAAATCTCACTATGCCGCCTAGCAATTTTGAATTGCAAATTGTTAACACACACTACACCAACAGTCAAAACTACAAGGCTGGCAGTTTGAGGCCGGCCCGTCGCACGAATTTAAAAATATTATGTAATTAGAAAAACAATAAACAATTATTCTCCGTTCAGCTCCTAGGAAGATTGGGGTTCTTATCCCAGCGGACAAGTATGATACTTACAAGGCGGCATCGGGGCGATAGAATACTCGGTTGACTCGAGCAGCGTGCAGCACAGGATTTGATTCCTCAAACCGTCGCACATGGTGAGCAGCGCCTCTTTCTGCGACGACAGTTTCGTCCAGGAATGCAGGGCACAAAATGATTGTGTTATGTTCTGTAAATTCAGGTTGGCGCCCTGCTAGAGAAAAAATGCTTGTAGTCAAAAAAAAAAAAGAATCCTTCAGATCAAAAAAACAAGGGGAGCCAATAGATACACCACATCAATATTTTCAAGGTACCGGCACTCCTCATTTTGAGAAATCTTCTCATTCACATTTGTGGGCCATCAACACCTCTGAACTTACCAAATCGTGTTCTTGTTACGGTCTTGATGTCCAGAATATTTTTTTTTGTAAAAAATTGCAATAAAAATGTATGTACGATTTTGAAGCTATAGAACCACTTTGAAACAGGCGTATTCTTTTCCGTCGAACCGTCGATAACTGACCACTTTCCATTTTTCTCCCACCCTCTGTTGGATTTTTGGGCCAAGGTAAGGGACGAAATTTGGAGGAGGCCGTACCATCGGCCCGAGCTCGGCGCTGAAGCCCAAGAGGGGCTATGGTGAATGTTCTGCTGTGAATCTATTCATCCGAGCTTTTGAAAAAAATGGCAGAAAGAATCCTCTCCTAACTTCTCCACCCCCTCTAACCACCTGTAATGATTTGTTGTTTCTTTTCTATTACTCCCGCTGTTGAGAGTGATAATTATTAAGAAATATGGAACATTAGGGTGAAGCCCGAAACCGAAAATGTTGCAACAAACTCATTGGCCTTTTTGTTGAGTCGCTGAGTACATATGTCGAATGGAACTGGGGCAGGGTCAACCCTATGTTGCTACAAGTAGCAACGGGGGGGGGTCGTATTTTGATGAGTTTGTAGAGGGGGGGGGTCGTACTTGCTTCGGTTGTAAGAAGTTGCATGTGATGAGTGGGGAGTGGCGCGGGAGAAAATTTGCCGTTTCAGCGCGCGTATACCCCCCCCCTCCCTAGAAAATGAAGCAGTGGGATTATAGGTAGATTATAGGTAGAATGGGGTAAATTGATTAATAATTTAGATTTAATTGGTAATTACCCCGGAATTTTGGTATTTGATATTTACCTGTTTCAGAGTGACTATATACCCCCCCCCCCGCTCGACGGCATTTTTGGAGGAAAAAGTGGGCGGGGTTTTGATGGAAGATGGAGATGGTGGAGGTAGGGAAAAGGGGGTCGTATCAAATCCACCTTGGGGGGGGGGTCGTAAAAAATTTTCGAAAAGTAGCAACGATAGGACCGACCCTGGTGGGACTCCGTGGTATTCCCAGGCAACTAGTCCAATCAGGACTCCCTAATAGAAGGAATTCGAAACAAGGAGGCGGGCTAGTCACATATCTGCATCAAATTACGCCGAGTATAAAGGGATGTTGCCAAGGATTTCCACTTCTCATTATTTTCATTCACCCATGAAAACAAACACCCACTGTATTCCATTCCGCTCTGGGCCAAATCTGTCAATTTTTGGTTTGAAAACAAAGTTTCAGGGCGAAATGGACAGTGTTTAATATTCTGTGCCTATCTACCTACTATATGATGTGATCGTCGTATTTCAGGAATCTGAAAAGCGTCGTTGTTATTTCTGCGATGATCGGCGCTGTTTTCTGTCGCCCCAATGCCTTGGACACACCAGGCGGCAGCGGTCCTCCTGGCGGACCTGGTGGTCCTCCTGGCGGGCCTCGTGGTCCGGGAGCCTCCTGTTGGAAATCCATTTGAGCATGACCAACGCCGCCACCAGCATTCCTTGACGGTCTCAGTGAACAGGCTCGTCAAGGGTTTTTTAGTATCATGAAGAATAAAGACACAATGGGTAAGAAGAAGGGTGACCTTTCTCACTTGGGGGACAATCGAACGGAGTCCAGGTACGCTTTGTGGCATTCAATTTCCTGAAGAGATCTCAACAACTATGCCAACAATTTTGGAACCTTGTACTCAATTTACGAGTCTAGGTCGATTAGGGGTTGTTCTTTTCGATATTCGGACAAAAAGTGCGATGGGAACGTTACTGGAGAGAAAGCCCTAACAATAAGCCCCAAAACATTTACATACACTTATTTTATGACGGTGGTATGAAGAGAGACACGGCGCAGCAAGGAAAGGAAAAACGCGAGAGAGCACGAGAGGGCGCGAACGCCATTGACAAGGACGGCAGCGACCGCAGCGGTCAAGCGAGGCATTGGTGTTGTTTTGGCGAAGCTCAAAATTGTCTAGCAGACCAATTACTGGCTCAGAATGAGGCGTCCTGCAACCTTTTCCAAGGACAAAAATTCTCTAAGCGAATTTGATTGCAACCTGTGCCTTTAACAATTTGGTACTAATTTGTGGCAATTTCTTCGCCCTACAGACACAAGTGGAGGAGTATGAGAAAAATATGGCAAACCTCATAACCGAGATGAAGAAGAACGTGAGCGACATTGTAAACGAGATGCCGAATGCTCTGCTAAAGTTCTACGAAATCATAGACAACGAAGACCAGACTATGCAACAAATAAAAGTCGCTATGGATGAACTGATTGCTGGAAATCCTAAGGTTTGCTTTTTACAGGGTTTTGTCTCGCAACTTGTCCTGCTAAGAGATGTAGTTATCAGAAAAAACCACAGATGGTGCGCTGTCCGTTTTCCAGCTGACCACGCTTGATTGCCGTCATGAAGGACTTCAAGCCGAAAGGAATGGGTGGCCCTCCTTGCGGGCCAGGTGGACCTGGTGGACCACCAGGCGGTCCAGGTGGCTCCAGGAGGACCTGGTGGACCAGGAGGTCCCGGTGGGCCCCATGTGTTCCTCCTGGTGGTCGACCGCCTCGTCCATGGGTGAAGACCCCGAAGATGATGACGACAAAGGTGATTTCACAAAAGTTCTTCCGAAAAAAAATTTCAATGGATCGGGCGTGGAGCTAATGAGACCAAGTGTTTCAGATGATGACCACGATGACCATAAGTAAGTTCAATCTACCGTGTGGATAACCGGCTGCGCAACATCACCGCTTCACAACATCTTTCTACTGTAGACCTATGTAACAGTATTACTTAATCGGGTGTGAGATTTTTAAAGCCCACAGCCCCCAGAATAAAATATTCAAATCCCCCATTAATTTTATGTGATTAAACTCTTCATAATTGCTGCTACCACTTAGCTATTTTTTTGCTATCGAGTAGGGTTCTAAGTTTAACCTTGGCCACATCCCCTAAAGGAAGATCAACCCTAAACTTATAAAACCTAGTTAGCCAGGTCAACTTGACCTTGAATATTTATTTATTTATTTCTATACGTCCAGTGACGCGCTTGGACAGAGCAATATTCGAATAGACCAGGACTTCTAGTGCCAAAAGGAAGCAGTAGCTAACCAGGAATGGATGATTGGTCGAAGTGGCCATATGTAAAGAGACCTACACCGTGGATGCGTTTTTGGACGCTGATCTCGAATCTGCTTTCCAAATCTGCCAAACGATTTTCCGAATGGAGTTATGAAGGAAAGTAGTGCAGCGGTAGTAGTCCGGGTTCACGTGCGAGACGTCGTAGGATCGATTCCCTGGCGGGTTCTCTTTTTTGCCTTCGCTGCAAAATGATGAAAAGGCTCCCAGCTACCTTACTCGATCAATGCTTGCCTGTAGTTACCCGTGCAAAGACTTTGCGAAGAGTTTCTAATCAGTTTCTGCGGTACTCACTAGACTGCACATGGAGCCCACAGAACTCTTGGCAGACGTTTTTGCAGCAAACAGTGTGATATTCGTGTTCTGGAGATTGAAATACCCCTAGAGACAAGTTTGTAGCCCAAATTTGAGATTTCGACCAAATTTCGAAATAAGCTGGGTGGGTATCTATCCATTCATCCATCAGCCTATTATCGAAGCCTACATAGCCTTGAGACGATATAACGTTTTTTTTTTGGTTTCTGAAGAGTGTAAAGCAGTGTCTGGTTTTCTTAGCATGATTTCAACACCTCACATTTTATTATTTTCAAATTTAAAGGGTCGCCGTCGTCCAAAATAGGTCAACCCTGGAACTACCGGCTATGGATATGTAGCATCAATGAGTGACTCGCCCACTTTTTTGAGATTAATTCAAAATCTCGAATTTTTCTAGAAAATCGGCCCAGGAGGAGTTATTGGACTGCTTGAACACAGATCTCACATTCGTTCATTCAAAAACGGCTGAAGCGCGCTCCGTATACTGGCGCGCCTTAACCTTATGTAGTGGCATGCAAGTTAGGAAAAATTTCGAAGTTATCGACCTCAAACTCATCAAAAGCAAGTAGGGCTGACCAATGATGAAGGAATCATGTTTCACTACTGCCAAACAGTCAGTCACAAAAATGCAAAATGGAAAACAAGGGCCGGATCCGAACCACTGACCGAAAGCCCCGTCAAACCTCCACCGACTCTTAACCCTGACGGTCGCCCCAACCTCGATAACAGAGGCTCACTGCTTCGTTCACAAGCCGCTGCTGCTGAGGCCTCATTTCTCACTGTGTTAAACTGTGTGAGGGAACAAAAAACCTCCGTAACTCCGTTCAGCGAATCGTTTGGCAGATTTGGGAAGAAGATTCGAGATCAGCGTCCGAAACCACATACCATGATACTTGTCTCATTTCATATGGCCACTTCGACCCTTCATCCTTCCCTAGTCAGTTGATTCACCAGGCAATTGATTGGGTACGTCCGACTAAACCAACTTGTAAAGGAAAAGCGAGAAGGGGCAGTTCAAAAGATTCCTTGAGTATTTTTTTCGAACTCTGGGTCATACACTAGGTTGATCAGTGAATTTGTGTACAGATTTGGAAGTAACAAAGAGCATTGCCATGAGCCATAAGGTTAGTGCCTCAAAGATAACCCTACTGCGAGGCCGCAGCCCTACTAGGGCGGGCGTGGAAACACCTCTTTGATCTAAATACGAACCCTAGGGGCTGGCTCGGGGGCGCTTGTGAGGATAGCTAACCATGCGATGTCATCGTCCGAGTATCTTCCGTAACACTGCCAGCACTGATGATCAGCCGCAATGCAGAAGACTAGTCACCGGCTGGGCTGAAGATTCGTAAAACTCGATTGCTTGGAGAGAGCCAGTCTGTGCGGGATCGCCAAACTGTTGCGGTAGACTGTAGCATGCGCTCGGCAGAAACATTTACGTAGGTCTAGAGCCTGCTGAATCAGGATATGTGATATTTGACCGAGCTTTTGTGAAGTAAGAGGAGCATCTGAGTAAGGGTTGACGGAACCAAATCTAATCAGCGGATGAGTCAAATGATTCGCGTGCGATTGATTTGATTCCTCAACCATGAGAGAGGGATTGAGGTCGTCTTGGCAAACTCCACGAACGGTCGAGGGATACAGTCTCTGATTAAGTTTTGCCGCAGCCAATCCCTGCACATGTTCTTCTGCTGGATATTTAATAAGTGCTATGTAATCGGCTACAAGTTCTCGTATGAGCAAATGGGCACCTAAATGCTGCCTCGACAATGAAGTGGTGCACCTCAAAGATGAGAGGAAGGCATGACTCAGTTCGAGGGGAAACGAACTTTCTCAAAGCATTCCTGAAAGCAGTCCATCAAAAAAATCACTACACATAATTCATTCACCCATAGGTGTGCTGTCCGCAGCTAGTGGTCGAACGAGGCTTCACGGAGATTCTCAAATACATCTCGCCCCACAGCAAATGTCGGTAGAGGAAATCCTCGACAGGGGGTCGTATTCGTAACGGTTTTAAAATCAACGGGGGGTCAATAACGAGCCATGGCTGGCTTCATAGTGCAGACGGGTGTAACGAGGCAGAAAACGAGGATATGTGAGGAAACATGATAAAATATATTGTTTGCAGCTTCCATTCCTCTCGCTTTATGAGAAGAACGTAATAGAAAACAGTTGATGGAGGATTAGAAAATGCCTTGTGATAGAGCTGCTTCTTAGGTCATGGAAGTTACGAAGTGTGTTCACTAAATACAATACAGTTTCCGTCAATAGGTCATCATCATGTAACAATCTTCCAATCGTTCTTAAATCAATCTAATTCTGCAACTTTGAGTGGAGGTCGAATGCATGGCCTACACCGAGACTAAGTGGACTATGTTGGTTACCCGCGCCTGCGCTGGAAAAATTCTAAGACATTTGGAGAGTTGCCAACGAATTTGCTTGCAGTTGTGAAAAAGAAGCGACTTTTGAGTGACCGAATATCTCCTCAATTAGGGAATTTTGCTAGATGATGATACCAAATTGAAGAAAGAGTTTCCTTTTGAATAGTAAAAACTCGCAAGAAAATTTTAGCGTCATCAATGCTGACTCGACGCAGTTCGAGAGATATTGTCCCTTCTAGCGAAGGCTTCCAAAGCAACTTCAGTACTGCTGGGTGAAAGAAAAATTGGCTCCATTCAAATCTGCACAGAATCTGTTGAAAAGATTACGAAATGGGGGAATGGTAGCATTTCAAATATGGTACAGACATCCAAGATTTGGGGCGGGGCTACAGATAATTTGACCTAGGGATAAACCTCCCTGCAACTGCATATGTACTTTTGAGTGTACAATGGAACTCGTTCAATCACATCAAATCAAAGTTAG